ATCCATGGGAGGACATGCCGAGTATGCTTAGTATTGGATTATCATGCCGCGCCGACGACACCATCAAGAAGAGGGGCAGACAGTTTGTACATGGCTGCCCATACCGTCCTGGTGATAACCGGATTCAGCCAGGCTTGCGCGTCGATTCGGAGGTCCTGATCATGGTCAGTTTGAAGAGCCTAGTTCGGGACAACATTCCGATTTGGCGCTCAGCTATATAACGACATCGTCATGACAGCGGGCCAGAATGGCAGGGTTCTTCCAACTCACATCGCCCAGTTGATCGGGATTCTGCCCAGCCCCGATTGTCAGTTTAATTGTGTGGGACAGGTATGGAAAAATCCTTTCTGTATTTGCGGACAGTAATCTGCCGTATCCGAGCATTGAAGATATGTACGAGATCCGCAATGGTGCATCATCCTTGAGGAATTGGTTCTTCCCAAATACCCCTTACAATTTGAAGTGCCCCGATCCGCCTCCGGTTCAGGAGGTCGTGTTCTCAATTGTGCTCATGATGGGTGCATATCATGCGGGGGCACTTGCAGGGGGATCTGATGGATCATGGATACAGGCTCAGAGCGCCGATGTGACAGGTATTACACCAAGTGGTATTACGCCCTCCGACACTTTGTACGTCAACGATCCGTGGCGTGCTCATGTACAACAATTGCCAGTACCTGCAGGGCAACCTGCTTCATTTGCTCCTATGAGCAGAGCTACTACACCATTTGGTACTCCATAGAGTGCTGGGAGCAACAACAGCTCGCAGGCGAGGCTCCAAAGCATTCGGATGGATCCGCAGCTTTATCAGGTTTTACAGGCGACATCGCCATGCGCATCGCCACGTCCACATGCGGGGCAACCTGCTTTTCCTGACCCATACGCCATGCAGAGAAGTTCAGTTGGTCAGTAAGAGTGGATGCATCGGCAGATGCGTGAGGCCGTCAGAGCATGCGGAGGGATGGCATTTACCTCCCTAGTGCCAACTGGAAGCCGCCGTGGGAGTATGTTCCGGATCCAAATCCATTACCAGACACCCCCAATCGGTTCGGTTATGCGCCAGCATTCTTCAGCCATCCGACTTGCGATCCAACGTCTGCTGATCGCCCCACAGCAGCGCCAATGGATCATCCACTCTATCCTGATTATCACGCTCAGGTGAGTGGTATTCCCCGGTTGGGAACACAGCCCGAGAACCCATATGTTCGGGCGACGGCCGACGACTTCGACCAGTCGCAGCTGACACGTGGCTCAGGGCATGCATCAGGTGTGCCTGGACAGATACCTCACTATGGTTATCTGGCTCCCTCCATGGATCAAGATGTGCAGCAACAGGCCCCAGGCCTGGCACTGCCGCCGACAATGGGGGAGTTGCGCCCTGAGGTCCTAGCCATACACGAGGTGCAGCAGGCCAATTTGGCTATGCAGGCTACTCGTCAGCGCCGAAATCAGGATCGTCAGGCCAACAGAGTGCTGAGCCGGGCGGGGCAACCTGCTAATCGCAATCTAGCAGGGACACCTGCGAGCAGTCCAGCCATGGTTGTATCAATGCAGCTACCGACGGTATCACCTATTCGGTTCGAGGCTGGTGAATCCACCCTGGAGCGTCAGACGCGTATCAGGCCATCGGCAACACCGCCCATCGTCAGAGACGGCGACTTCGGTAAGTGTGCCATATGGCTGGACCAGTCCATGAACCACGACAAGGTCTGGCGCCTCCAGTGCGGCCACATATTCCACGCACAATGCTGGGATCGAGTGGTATACGCTCATGTTAATAGACATCTGGCTGGGAAGATGGAAGGTTCCGCATGTGAGGCCCCCTGCGCTATATGCAGGGGTGTTGGCCTCGTTACGGCCGGGTTTCACTACGCCCGTGCTGGAGATCAGAATTCACTCAATCGTCATGAAGATATACTCCGAGGGGCGAACGAGCTCAGGGATCTCCGTGAAGAGCTCAACCGCGTGACGGCGATGATGACGGGCACCGCAGCAGTCTCGATGACGACACCAGCGGGGCAACCTGCATCACCAGCCAACGCGGGGCCAGCAACGGAGGCAACCACACTTGTGGGGACACCTGCCATCGACATGCCCATGCCATTGGTGGCAGAGACCGACAACAACGCAGGGGCACCTGCTAGATTAGCTCCACCTTCGGTGCCGGTGAACGACACGTGGTTGAGGCGCATGGACAGGGCTGCCGACAGGAGCGCTCGACGGCTTCAGTCTTCGCACGCATGCATGTCATATGGGCGAGATCTTCGCCGCGCAGTCAGCGCAGGACGGAGAGCTCTGCAAGCATGCGCAGTGGCAACAGTTGGACATCCGAACGCGACATGCTGCATATTGTATTTATGATAAATACTGATGGTCAGATGGGCATGCACGCGGATGAGGACACGTTCCTGCACTTACCCACTACCTCCACATATCGCCCCCGTGACTCATCCCTCAACCCCCCAACCCCCCGGCCGGATTTCTTTTCTTCTTTCCGCGGGGGGTCAACCTTCGCGGCGACCCGTTAAACCCGGGACCCCTGGCGGCGCATGGATTTCTTTCCTTCTTCCCCGCGCGCGTTGCCGCTGGAACCCCTGAACCCCTCCGACCACCGTGCAACTCGTACTTGAGTACAACTGGTACTATCATGTCCTATCGCGCAGTTGTTCCTAGAGAGCACGTTGTCCTGCCGTGCAAATATTCGAGTGCAGCTGGTAATATTCTAGTGCAACCGCGATTAAGGTATTGTTGCATTGCACTTACAGTCTCGGCTCTCAGGCTTTTCTTCCTCTGGTTGCGCTTGGGGGGGTGGGGCCCCTCGCGCGGGCACCCCCGCGGCTGGGAGTTCATTCCTCTTCCGGAATTTGAGGGGGGGGGTAACCCCCGTGCTCGAACCCCATCGCCAGGGTTTTTTCTTTCCTCCGCGGAAGCCGGACCCCCTGGGTTCTTCGGCGCGCCCATTTTTTTTTCTTTCCGGTTGGGCTTCCATGGGTCTTAGGTTGGAGTCACCCGGGTGATCTCCACATCACACCCATATACGTATGACGAATATCCTACAGCCTGGATCTTGGAAAAGAATCTTATTGCGGAAGAAGAGGCTCGTGGGTATATTATTGTTTTCACATCGTTGTCGAGAAACGACTGGGTGTTGGAGCAAGGGCGCCGCAAAGGCTAGCGGGTACACAGTTTCTGAAGTTCCTGGGCTACTTGATGAACGCCGTGAGCTAGCCTTGGCAGCTAACAGTGGAACTATGATTCCTGGTATGTTGACTATCCTTTTCGATATTGGAAGTTACATCAATCTCATTGGATTAAAGACGGCATAGACCTTTGAGCAGGTAGCACGCTCCCACGGACACGCCATTAAAGGGCTTAACCTCACAAAGAGGCTTTACGTGTCAGGAGTGGGACATGGCGCCGCGATCTGTGCTAAACCCCTGCATTGCAAGATTGCATGCGAAGAAAAGGGAGATCCTGCGGGGCGACCTGCCGTGCCGAGACTTGACGCGTACTCAGCAAATGTAGCTGCGGGCTCCGGGGGGAACGCCCCCGCCATCCTGGGTCTGAGGAGCATGTCCAACATGAGGGCCATCCTGATCCTTGAGCAGGGGCGCGAGAAAGTGATCAACCCTGGCGTGGAGATGCACAAGGTCCTAGTCGGAGAAGGCGCCAGGATACTCAACCGAAGGAAGACACCTTCCGGACATCTGGCGTTCGAGGCCGGCGAGTACGAGATGGCTACAGAGGATCAAGGGTCGATGTCGTTTATTATCACGGCCAGTCCTCAGTGCGAAGAAGCTCCATTATTCGTTAAGGAGGTATCCGATCCAGAGCCAATATCAGGGGCACCTGCTGTGAATGATGCTCACGCGTACATGATGTCACAAGATACGAAGAGCATCAGTTTCTCGATCAACGACGAGACGCTCACTTTCGCGATCCAGACTTTGGTGAACAACACCTTGAAGACATGGCATTGTATAAATTACCCCAGTGCGACCCAACCTAGAAGTTGGAGCCCCTAGAACAGCAGCATTAGTTGCTATGCCATGCCATGCCATGCTATGCTGCGCTATGTTATGCCATGATATGGTATGGTATGATATGGCATGCTGCGTTATGTTATGATATGTTATGCTAAGCTATGATGTATAATGCTGCGCTGTGCTATGCTATGCTATGCTACGCTAAGCTGCGCGATGCGGTGCTATGCTGTGTTATTCTCTGTTATGCGATGCTATGATGTGCTGTGCTGTGCTGTGCTGCGATATGTTATGCTGTGCTGTGCTATGATATGCTATGTTATGCTGCGCTGTGCTATGCTATGCTGCGCTATGTTATGATGTGCTAAGCTTAGATACGCTAAACTAAGCTAAGTTACAGCTATGCGAAGCTAAGATGAAGCTCAGCTAAGCTAAGCTAAGATGAGATACGCAAATCTAAATTGAGGGGGCGCAGCTGGGGGAACCGCGGGGCGGGGGCCGGGGGAGCCGCCCGGGGCGGGGTGCTCTGCCCGGCCCCATTTAAGCTAACAGAGTAAGAACCCTCCAGGCAGAGCCTGGGTAGGGAATGTATCCTTTGGGACTACCCCTACCTCGGCTGACAAAGACTTCGCCCTCCGCAATTTGCAGGCGAAGATATATCAGGCCATCCACGAGGAGGGTACGAAGTGGACGCCCCCGATGCACAGGCTGGGACACCCGCGGAAAGGGGATGATACCGCTGAGAAGTTTGATGGTCGCTTTTGACAAGCTGAAGTGACGTGTCTGTGCCCCGAGGGCTCGCCGCATCGACGCCTGCCGTCGACATGTCTGCTCAAGTCTTTGAGGGGCCCAGCCTGCCCCCAGCCTATGGTCGCGCGCGGCCTAGGCTTCTCAGTCGTTTGCCACTTGAGTGCCATAGGCGTGGCGCGCTGGTGGTGGCAGCCTGCGCCGAGGCTGCCGCCTGCCGCTCCCGCGGCGGCTGCAGGTGCTGTCCAGCCCGAGTTCTCGGTGCTGGAGCGGGAGGAGCCGCTCGAGGTGCTGGTCCCACTGTCGGACTGCATCGCGGCAGCTGTGGGCGCCAGTCCGCCGTCGGGGCGCCCGTCGCCGTGCACCCCTTGCCCGGCCTGCCCAGAGGCAGGCGAGTCGTCTACGCCTTCCTGGACGCTGCAGATCGGGACTGGGCTCCTGGGGCTGCTGTTCGTGGAGAGCGCCAAGCTCGTGCTCGCTCTTGCCCGTCGGCTCGGGAGCGCGTTGCGGCAGGTTGCTGGAGGCGTAGGCCCGCGCCCTCGCGTCGCCCTTGGCGACCGTGCGCGCACCTCGCCAGAGCCCGAGCGTGGTCTGGCCGAGGCTGTTGACTTCCACGCCCTCGCTCTCGAGCAGGCGCGGGCCAGCCAGCTCAAAAGCTCGCTTTCGCAGTGGTGGCTGGATCTTTTTACTTGGTCAGATACCGCGCACCTGGACCCGTCATTTTCCACGAGAGGTCGACTTTGGGCGAGAGGGGTGCGCTGTCCTACATCTTGACTCCCGATGGCGACAGCTACGATGAGGGCAATGCGCCGACGCCGGACATCGCGAAGGTCATCAGGCTCGTGGGCCAGGGCGGTGCTCCAGCTGGCGTTGGAGGAGCTCACGTGCATCGGTTTCGGCGTCTTCCGAGTGCTGCTGAGGCTTGGGCTGAGATCGGGCGCGGAGTCGCGGCTGGTTTTCCGCGGCCAGCTGGCAACACCCTCAACCTTGAGCTCGCTGCTGGGAACGCTCTCGGGGTGGCGGCCGGCGCCCGCCCCCTCGTCGACCCGGGCGCACCTGCCGCGGCCCCCGCGGCCGTGGCCGCTGGCGGCGCCCCAGTGCTGGACGGGGGAGTCGGCGCCTTGGTCGCTGCCCTTGGCGGCGCTGCTCCCCCGCCCGCCCGTCGGCCTTGGCGCCGGAGCGCGTCCGGCGGCCGCGCCGGCGGTCCCTGGGGCCTTGGCGGTCCCTCCGCCGGCCGCCGCGGCTGCGGCTGCGCCGGCCGCTGCCCCTGAGGCGCCCGTGATGGCGCAGCCCGTCCTGGCGCCTGCGCCTGGGCCCCCGGCTGCTGGCGCTGGCGCGGCCCCTCCCGACCCGCGGGTCTTGGCGGCCTCCTTCGACATGCTGGGGCAGCGCCACATCGAGTTCAGGGAGGGGGTGCTCAGGCTGGTCGAGCATCCCTTGCCAGACTGGAGGCTCTCCGGGCCTAGGACGTGCCTCTGGGTCTGCAGATTCATCTGCGAGAACGGGGGGGCGCCTCTTGGGCGGCATCAGATGTTCAAGACGACCTTCCGCCTCACTGGCGCGGACGTCGGCGTCGTGGAACATGAGGAGTGCTGCCGCATCCTGCAGGAGGGCGTCTGCTACGACCAGCTCAACGTGGCGTCGCTGGCGCCCTTCGAGGCCGTCAGCCGGTCGCTCCAGGTGCAGGAGGAGAGGTACCGGCACAACCTGAACGACGAGAACGATGACGAGGGCTATGACCGGCACCTCTTCCTCGGGAACCAGCACTCCTGTGGGAACCTCTGTGTTTGCCCGTTGCTGCAGTCCTTCGTAGCCGCAGAGCTGTCCCGCGAGGCCGCGCTCAAGGAGCGCCGCAAGGCGCGCGACGAACGAGCCCTCCCGAAGCCCTCCGCCAAGAAGCCTGGCAAGAAGGGACAGCGAGGGCAGGGTGGCGATGCCTGATTGCCCTGCGACGGGGATCTTGGGCGCCCCCGCCGCTCTACCAGCCCACGGCGGTCTCCGCTCCTCCCTGGCAATGGAGGAGGCCCGCCAGCGCGACCTCTTCCCGCTGCCCGCTCGGGAGCTTGAAGCCCGCAGTTTTGACAAGGTCCCTGTCAGCCGCTGTGTTGCCCGCCGCCGTCTTCGCGCTGCCCATGCTGATCGTTGGGCGGCCGAGGGCGTGGACGCGTTGAATGACATGTATGGCAGTTTTGTTCCAGCTCCGGCGTCAGCCTCAATGCAGGTCAGCGTCTGGCCCTGGATCGCGTTCGCCGCAGCTATCGACGTGTTGGTCAACCTCCTGCAGACCTCCTTTCAGGACAGGGAGCCCTCAGCGCGCTCCTGTCAGGCGCGCCTGGCTACACTAGTGGTGGCGGGCCCGTCGCTTCCTATGACGGCGACAAGATCGCCTGGCCTTCCACCTCCGGCAAGCCCATCCCGTTAACCGACTTGCTTGGAGAAGTGGACGCCTCGTGGCTTAGGGATTGGAAGGAGCACATGCTACGACCGTCTCAGGCCGCTCGGAGCCTCCGCGCGGAGGCCTGCCCCCGGGGCGCATACGCCGACCCGGTGCTGAAGCACAACGTACGTGAATATGCTACCTTTCTGAGAGAGGCCTGGCGCCGTGGGATGCTGACTTGGAAGCATGGCCACGGCGGCGACCTCGGGCTGTTTTTCGCCAGGCGCAAGGACGAACGCTTTCGGATCATTTTCGACACCCAGGTCATCAACTGTGACTTCGTGCCCGCCCCGTCGACGCGCTTGCCTACTCCTTCGGCTTTCGGCGCGCTGGAGGCGGATTGTAAGGTAAGGTTTTCATCGCCTCTGGGGACTTGGAGGCTGCTTTCTATCACATGCCGGTTCCGCCTGACATGGTCGGGCGTTTCTTCTTGCCGAGCCTGGACGCGGGACTGCTGCTGAACTGCGGGGTCTCCGACTTGCCAGCTGGCGCGGGGCAGCCGATCGCGCCGTGTCTGCGCGTGCTGCCCATGGGGTTTTCGTGGGCCCTCCACCTGTGCCAGGGCGTCCTTCGGCGCGGCATCAGCTTCGGCGGCTTCCCAGCGAGCAGCCTCATCGAGGACGGTCAGCCTGGGCGGCAGGTGCGGCACGGAGAGACCCTGTGGCCGCCGGCTACGTGGACAACTTCTTTGTGATGGGCACGGAGGCCAGTAGCACGGATCGCCACTGCGACAGCGCGCGTTTCCAGCTCGAGAAGCTGGGACTCGGTGCACGACCGGGAGCCAGCCAGCCACGACGCGGAGTTCCTGGGCCTCAGCCTCTCGGAGGGTCGGTTCTTGGCGGTCCGGCCCAAGTGCTTGTGGCGTCTGCGGCTGTCGATCGAGAAGCTCCTCCGCATTGGTAAGTGCAGCGGGCTGCTCATGAAGGTCCTGCTGGGCCATGTCACTTGGTCGGCGCTGCTCAGGCGTGAGGCTTTGTGCCTGCTGCAGGCGTCGTACGCTTTTGCCGCCAAGGCCGGCAGCCAGCCTCTGGCTATGTGGCGCTCGGTGCGTGAGGAGCTGTGGCGCGTGAGGTGCCTTCTTCCTCTTTTGCAGGCCGACGTGCTGGCTGGCTGGCACGGGCAGGTGGTCGCGTCCGACGCGTCCGAGTTCGGGCTCGGACTCGTGCGACGCCGGCTCCCGATTGACAGAGTCGCGGAGCTTGGGCGTCAATCCGAGCGTTGGCGCTACCGAGTCGAGGGAGGTTCGCGAGCTCGTGAGAGAGCACTGCATCAACTCGACTCATCGTCACCTCCTCTGCCTAGCTCTTCATCATCTACATCTCCTGGAGGCCCCTTCCTGAACGCATCGGAGGCCGTCTTCGACGAGATTCCTGGAGATGTTCTGGAGGCGTCGTCTTGGGCTGGCGTGGCAGCGGTGCAGATCTCGGAGGGCCCCGACATCTTGGAGCTCGAGGGGGAGGCTCTGGTGTTAGCAGTCCGTCATGTTCTTCGGAGTTCGCAGGCTTACGGTAAACGCATTGTCGCTCTGGTCGCTAACCTGCCCCTGGCCCTTGCGGCCACCAAGGGGAGAGCACGATCTCGTCATCTTAGAGGTCCTCTTCAGAAGCTAGCAGCTCTCAGCTTGGCCTCGGGATCTCGGGTCTACGCTCGGTGGATCGCTTCGGAGCTCAACCCATCGGACCCGCGCCCACGTGGGCTCAGAGGGCGGTTCTCGGGCGCGCGCCCTTTGCGCGCCCAGACCGAGCCTTCTCCTGCTGCCCAGACTGGCGGCGCCGACAGTTTGACAGCTGATGGCGCGGCGAGTGCCTCGGACGTCGGGCGGCAGTCGGCAGTCGCAGGGGCGCGCCGCGCTGGCGCAGAGCCTGCTGCAGTGCAGGAGGCCCGTCACCGGGCTCACCTCCTTGGAGCAGCTGGCGATCAAGGAGTCGACCGAGGAGCTCTACCGCGTGGCGGGCCGCAAGTTCACAGACCACTGCATCCTCCACCAGATCTCCTGGACCACCCTCCGCGAGCTGAACCTGGCCGTGCTGATCTTCCTAATGGTGTCCTTCGTGTGCTTCCTCCGCCCGTGCGAGTGCTTCGAGTTGAAGGTGCAGCCCTTGGTGGCTCCCTCCGCCATGGCGGGGCCCGCCTACCAGGCGTGGGGGCTCCTGCTCCATGACGTGGCGGAGGGCCAGCCAGGCATGACGGGCCTTCTCGAGGTGTCGGTGCGCGTGGACCTGGTCGCATGGCCCAACCCGCTGCTCGAGGCGTTCTCGATGGCGACGCCTCCCGGGCAGCTCTCGTGGGCTCTCAGCCCTGCGGAGGTACGCAAAGTGTTCGCCCAGGGGGTGTCGCTGCTGGGCTTGGACGGTCTCAGGCTTTACCTCTACTACCTCAGGCACGGCGGAGCGTCGGACGACCTCCGGACCAGTCGGAGGACAGTGGAGCAGGTCCGGCGCCGTGGGCGCTGGGAGGCAGCCTCGTCGACGGCCAGGTACGCCAAGGAGTCCAAGCTGCTGCGCAAGGTTGGCCTCGCCCCGAACAGCACTTCCTGTTCGGATCCTTCGTGGAGGAGAACTTCCAGGATCTCGTGGGCAGCGGCTTCCTCCACGCGGGAATCTTCGACCAGGTGCCCGACCCGCTCAAGCTGCTCATAGCGCGCCTAACCACGGCGGCTGCTGCTGGTCTGCCGAGTTTCGCCTTCCTGAGCTCCGCCCGAGCGGCGCGGAAGCGGCCGGCCAGCGCAGGCAGCGCAAGGCCGGCCGCTCGCCGCCGCTGAGCCTCTCTACCGCCGGCATCTTGCGCCGGCTGTGGCAGGAGCTCCAAATTGCCATGCAGCAGGCAACGCGGCGGCCCCTTTGCGTCTTTCTGGAGCTGTTCGCCGGCGCTGCAGGGATCTCAAAGAAGCTGCGGGCGGCTTGTTACGGCGTCGTTCCTATTGACATTCAGTTTGGTGTGCATGGGAACCTACTGGTGCGGTGTGTTGAGCGTCTCATCAAGGGGTGGATTAGCTCCGGCCTCGTGCTCGGTATGTTATTCGGTACACCTTGTACGTCATGGTCTCAGGCGCTCCGGCAACCGCTGCGGAGCGATGACTTTCCCATGGGCCTTGACTCGCTCACTGATTCGCAGCGTGCTCGTCTGACATTGGGTAACGCCACGCTGTTTGTCACCTGTAGACTCATAGACGTGTGCAGACGCGTTCGTGTGCCAGCCTTCCTGGAGAACCCAGACAGATCGTTAATGTGGCTGGCTCCTCGTCTGATCAGTCTGACTCGCGGCTCTGATTTCTCCAGTGCTCGTTTTCATCCGTGCAAATTCGGGGTGCCTTGGAAAAAGTGCACGCGTGTCGTTTCTTGGAATGGAGGCTGTCTCTCGCGATTGCAGCGCTGGTGTCACGCCAACGGCAAGATCTGTAGTAGAACTGGCCTGCAGCATCAGGAGCTCGCAGGCAGGGCTCCAGGTGGAAAGCACTGGACCGCCATTGCCGCTGCCTATCCTCCTGCGCTCTCAAAAGCTCTTGCAACTTCAATGATAGAGGCTTCTGCATCTCTTAGGGTGTCGACGCTCTGGAACAGGTTTAAACCTTGAGTTTCTGTTTCGGCCATCCTGGCCAGTCGTTTTCCTGTTCGGGTCTGGGAGTCTCTCCGAGTTGCGCCTGAGCGCCTAATCATTTGCCGCTGCGAATGATGTGCCTTGCTCCAGACACGATAAAAAAAAGCAGCTCCTGGCGTTCCCTGTGGGACTGAGGGCCAAGTCTCTGGTCGCTTTTGACAAGCTGAAGTGACGTGTCTGTGCCCCGAGGGCTCGCCGCATCGACGCCTGCCGTCGACGCGTCTGCTCAAGTCTTCCCTCCCTCCTCTCCCTCTTTCGCCTCGCCTCCCCCTTTTCGCTCCTGCTCGTCCTGTCCCCCTTCTTCAACTGGCCGTTCTCAGAAGGTCTTTGTTCACGTGAATGTTCTTGCTTAGGGGAGTCGCCCCGAGTTGCGCCTGAGCGCCTAATCATTTGCCGCTGCGAATGATGTGCCTTGCTCCAGACACGATAAAA